CTTTCCCTAGAACTAGCAGTTAGCTTGTTGAATTGTGCTTCTGATTTTACTCAGACCATAAGGTTCTCTGCCCGTTTTTCAAACCGAAAAGTTATTGTCTAATTAAAAGAGGTTGCTATCTCCTCACTCAAGATTTTCATGTGATATGATGAGCACAGTTTGTTGAGTACGTCTGGGCTTGGGGCGGATTGTACCTGCTGGCAGGATCATTCCCTCCCTAGTGCTGACAGTGTTCACAGTGTGCGTCCGGTGAAGATCATCTAATGCCGATTAGACCCAGTAGGGGGAATCAGATCCATCATGTGTGACTGATTGCAGGTTCAGAAGAAGGCAGACATGGTGAATGAAGACTTGCTGAGTGACGGAACTAATGAGAATGAATCTGGATTTTGGGACTCCTTCAAATGGTAAACTGGCATCATAAAGAAGTAATGTTTTTAAGGAAAAACTGATATATAAGCACCATCCCTCCCTTCTTTTGAGTATAATAATCTTGTTTGGGCTTTTCAGATTCTTCTCTGTGCAATCTTGCACTTGTACTTAGAGTAGATGAGTGTTTCGCACTGATTAACTGAAAAAGGTTATCATCCCCTTATGGTGGGGTTACTTCTGTGCCCTAGTTCTTGACTGCTGTTGAGTTTTGCCTGCTATTTGGAGAGCTGAGTGGTAATTGCTCAGTTAACCTTCCATTGTATGTCTTACATTCTGTGGACTAGCCTGTGTCCAGTCTTCTCCTGAAGCTACACGAGGCCCTGTGGGCAGCCTCCCTCTCGTTGGGCAGCCATCCCCCACCTCTCGTCCTGTGGGCTGCTTTTGCCGGCCTTGCGCTCTCGGGAAGGAACAGGGATGGGGAAGCACCGTCTCCTTCCCTCTCCGCTTAAAGGGCAGTGTGTCTGTACCAGTGTTTCAAGTGTTCTTGTTTTTACCTTTCTTGTTATAGGGGCTTTACAGGAGGACAGAAGACTGAGGAAGTGAAACAAGAGAAAGATGACATAATTAATATTTTCTCTGTCGCATCTGGTCATCTCTATGAAAGATTTCTTCGGTTAGTCATGTTGGTTATTTCGGAATATGTGCATGAATTTGTTACAGGATTTTTATTTAGGGAGTACGTGTTTTATGGGATTCTGCCTGTTATACTTCTGTGTATTTGACACACTCTAAGGATTGTGACTAGATTACCATATATAATTGTATGTGTTTTGATCCAGCCAGCCTCATGAAGGGGAGCTAACTGCATCTGTATACCTATTACAAGGCTATAAACATATTTCAGTATCACTGTGCACACATCATAAGGAGTGGTGTTTAATTGTCCACCAAGCATCGCTTAAACCGGAAATTAGGAGGTTAACATAGAGAATAGAGGTGGAATAGGGCCATGGACCTGCCTTCTGAAGATTCATAGGATGTTAGAGCCAGGAGGGATCTTAATTCCGTTTTATATCTTAATTCCGTTCAGAGGGTGGAAGGATTCGCCTGAGGTCACACAGCCAGAGTGGAGGAGAGGCACAGGCTTGGGCTGGTTGACACAGCGGTCGCCAGGGGGAAGGCCCTCAGGGCGTCTTGTTGTCAGTGGTCAGGAAGGCCTTTGCCTGAGAGTAACTTTCCTAATGCCAGGGTTTGTTTTCCTTGTAATTTTCCACTACAAATCTAGTCAAGATGTCATTTTACTCATGTTTAGCCCTCATATTCCCAAGAAATAATATCTGACCTAGAATAGTAATGTCAGATGTCAATAACAACTGAATTTAACTAAATTCCTTGACTCAAAATTTGCTTTTGTTTGTTTCCAAAGTAGGGAATCCTGAAGCTGTAACCACTTGCCGTCCCCTTACCTCGCCCCGCTCTCCTCCCTGGCAGGCCCCGTCCAGGCCGTGGGGGGCAGTGCTGTGACGCAGAGCCGCCGGGCTTTTCCAGCTTCTTTTTAGGGTGATGTCATCAGCTAAGCACAGCCTCCAGGATTCATTTGTACGCTAATTAACGTGTCAGTTCATGAAGCAGTTTATTTAAAGCTGTAACGTAATTAAAACATGTGCCTTTATCAGTTCGGTATATTACTATAGGTAATAAGTAGTCCTTCTTTCCCATCCAGTGATAACACTGTAAAAATGAATAAGGGCAGTTTTCCATCGTCCCCTACTCAGGGTCTCTCTTTGCCTAATTGAGCCACCAGTTAGCTCTGCCACAAAGAACACTGAGTGGTCTCTTGATGGACTCTCCTTGGTTTTGTTAAGATTGAAAAGATTTGGGCAATTGTTATTATTATTTGCTTTTGTTTGACAGCATAATGATGCTATCAGTACTGAAGAATACCAAGACTCCTGTGAAATTCTGGTTCTTGAAGAATTACTTGTCCCCCACATTTAAGGTTTGTTTCTCAGGCTTCGAAAAGGAAAACATTCCTATTAAGGACATACGTACAGTGTGATATACTTTTTGCTACTTCTACGTTATGTGTATGATTTAAAATGTTTCCTTGTATTTGGTTACCCTGATTCACCCGCATAATTCTATGTTGATTATTCTTCCAGACTGGTCTGTTTGGGGGGAATAGTTGTTATAAAACTGGACACAAAATTATGACTTGTTTGAAGCTTGGATAACATAGGAGGAGAGTCTGTATCTTTTGTTTTGATGGAGTAACATTCCTCCTCTGAGCGTGCATGTCCTTGTTTAATTAGAAAGCACAGTACAGGTTTCCAGTGAGGATGGTTAGTTCTGTCATGAACAACCTCCCAGTGATCTGTGGAAGTAAAGGATCACCTGTGCAAAACAAAAACACGCTTGGAAAGTTTTCCGCTTTATATCAGTTAGTATTTGTCATCTAAATTGATTTATTTGCATCTTTGTTGTTGTTCTTCTTCAAGCAGCTTTTAATGTACTCAGTAATATCTCTCCGAGAGAAGTGATTCACTTCTGGTCCCCTGAAAGTACTTACATGTAGAATCTGAAAGACTTAACGGCAGCAACCTTTTTCAGAGTACTTGGGTTTGCCGTGTCATTCCCTGGGCTAGACCTAGTGGTGAGAAAGGCTTAAAATCAAGCTCAAAAAAATGTTCTACTGAAATCAGGTTTCGACAGATAAAGTCCATTTCCCTTAAACACAAAGACACACAGACACAGACACACACACACAGAAATTAATTATCTAAAAGCCTTCACTTAAAGATTTCTGTCATCTCATGTGGTGATTAGAAGCCATAAACAAATGGGGATTTGACAAAAGTTTATATGTATTCTTTTATGTAGTCACAAGTGAGTCAGGGTCACATTTCTTCATTAGACCACTGATATGGTAAATGTGTTTTACTTGTGCCATAATCGTGCTTGGTTGACTTACTTGTTTTTCTTAATCAAAGTAAATGATTGTTGTTCCCTGTGTCTCAAAATAGGAGTTTATACCTTATATGGCAAACAAATACAATTTTCAGTATGAGCTTGTTCAGTACAAATGGCCCCGGTGGCTTCATCAGCAGACTGAGAAACAGCGCATCATCTGGGGTTACAAGATCCTCTTCCTGGATGTGCTCTTCCCGCTGGTTGTTGACAAGTTCCTGTTTGTGGATGCCGATCAGGTAAGCTCTTAAAGACTGTGCTTCAGCAGTTTGTATTAAAGGTATTGGACTTCCTTTCCTTTTTTAAATGATTTTATCTTTCCAATTACGGAAAATACATGCTTAGTTTACATTATTTAGAGTATATGGAAATGTATCACCCAGATATGATCACTTTTAAAATTTGCATTCGACATATCTCCTTTTCATCTTTGTTCCTATTGCCTCTTTTACACAGTTGGAATTGCATTGTGTATGCAGTTTTGTATCTTAAATTTAGTTCATTTAACATACAAACTAACAATTGGAAAATTCATCAGTTTAGCACAGTGCTTGCCATCATCTCCAATTATTTGCCCAAAAGCTAGAAGTTATTGACAAGGGTTAAGAGAGAGGAAGTGCAAGTAGGTGGCCTTGATAATGTGGAACTCTTCAGAAGGTCATCCTGCTGTCAAGATTTGACTTAATTAAAAGGAACACACTTAATTTTAGAAAATTAAAATTTCTAATTTTAGAAATTTTAGAGCATACACACTCAAAAAGTGTAAATGTACTTCTACCCTACAGTCTTTCTCCTTATCCTGAGCTGGCTGAAACCTGAGTTCCTCATCTGAATGGAAGTGATGTAATGTGTGCAAGTCATTTGGACAAAGCTTCATCCAGCTCTTGGGAATTCTGCCCGCTCTGGCTCACTTATATCGCAACTGGCTCAACCTGAAGCACGCTTTCCTAGTTCTAATATCACACTTAATCCTTGCTGAGCACTAACTGTGTGCCAGGCGTCATTCCCCATCATTCCCCGTTAATTCATGTAATCCTCCCAACAACCCTGTGAGATCTCCATGTTAGATGAGGAAACTGAGTCACAGAGAGGCTGTGCAATGTATCAATTATTAATTTGTTTTATTTCTGCTTTCTTTTTTTTTTTGAATGCTTGGAAATACTCTGTGCCAAGCACCAGGCTAAGCGTCTTGACACGCTAGTGAGGGCGGTCAGCCTAATCAGTGGAGGAAGCGAGGCTCGAGCCAGGTCTCCTGCCTGTGCCGCTGAGCCCTGAGCTCCCCGCCGTATCTCCTGGACCCTGCTGTCTGCATGGTTGTTTAACAGATAACTGTGATCCTCTCTTCTTCAGATTGTGCGAACAGATTTGAAAGAGCTGCGAGATTTCAGTTTGGACGGTGCTCCCTATGGTTACACTCCTTTCTGTGACAGCCGCAGGGAGATGGACGGCTACAGGTTCTGGAAGTCAGGCTACTGGGCCAGTCACTTATCCGGGCGGAAGTATCATATCAGGTGCCGAAGAAGGAGTGCTTCTAATGCTGTTGTTTGATGTTCTTTAAAAGTAATTTTGTATGTTTAAAGTTGTGAATAGGTAATATATTAATGTGGTTCAGAAATAAGAATTACAAACAATACACAGTGAAAAGAAATCTTCCCCATTCTGTCTCCCTTCTTCCCAGTTCCCACTCCCACAACAGATAAAATCCTCTATTAATTTACTGTGTGTCCTTCCAGACTTTCTTAATTCTTAGGTAAACAACTGTGACTTCTTTTTTACACAAAATATATACTATCCTATTTATAGTTTTGTGCCTTGCTTTTTTTACTTGATGTCTCTAGTAGACTTTATATCCTCATGTGGAGAGAGACCTTTTTCCTTTCTACATCAATATATTATTCCAGTATATATATTATTTATGGTCTCCCTATGACATACAATGTTGTAGTGAATAATTAAATACATAATTGTTTATATTTCAAGTATATCTGTAGGACAAATTCCTAGAACTCCTAGGTTAAACAGTGAATGTATCTGTTGGGCATTTGTTGCTTTTCTACATTATCTTCTCTGGGCAGAGTGTGATTTGGAGAGTAGGGGGATATGTAGGAAGCAGCATGTGTAGAGATAAATGTTGGGGTGTGGTGATTTCAGTATTGTACATTATGTTCTTGGTCCGAAAGAACTGTAACATTTGGGTGTTTTTTCTTTTCCTATAACATTTAAGACATCATCAGGATATCTTCAACTAATGGTTATCAGTCTTTATTACCAAATCTGCTGACATTTGCTAGGAATCTTTTGTCAGAGATGATTTCCTTTGGAAGGCAGTTACGTAAAGAGCAGTGACAAAGTGAGCTTGTGGTACCAGAATATGGGTTTTATAATAACTTCCTTAGCCATCTTTGAAGTAGCACAGACTGACTCTGAGCTCCACTGTAGACCTCAGCTTACCTTTTCAAAGAGAAGCCAGAATGTTTGCCTCGTGATCTGTTCCATTAATCAGTGTGGGTACTTTTCCTGCCATAATCCATGGTTATAACAAATGGATTTTCTCTGTCCAGTGCATTGTATGTCGTGGATCTGAAGAAGTTTAGGAAAATAGCTGCTGGTGACAGACTCAGGGGACAGTACCAAGGTCTGAGTCAGGATCCTAACAGCCTTTCAAATCTTGATCAAGTAAGTGGCCATTTTTTTGGTTAACCGTTTCAGTGATGGGTATACAATGTTGTGTCGGAAAATGAAGTGTAGTATTTGCTTCTCACTTCTCTCCTCTGTTGGGACAGTGTTTTATGTCTTCATGGAAAGGAATGTGTGTGTGTGTGTGTGTGTGTGTGTGTGTGTGTGTGTGTGTGTGACTTTTTATCTGTCCTCAAGAGAGGGTCAGTGTATTTCTCTTCTTTAGGAACTAACTAGCTCAGGATTCACAGCATAGAATATAGTATCGTAATTTCCCATTTTTTCCCATATCAGCAACCATGGTGTTTTTTAAGAAGTTTGGATGAGTCACTGTTTATTAATGCTAAACATTTTTTAGAGGTGAGATTATAGTTTGCGTTTTAGATACATAGTTTCACATATTTCTTTTGCTTAAGTCTGCCTTAACATTTTTAAGCATTTGTGATATATAGCACCCATAAAGAAAAGTGAGTGTACAAAACAAAAATTTATAAATATATACATATTTATATGCATCAGTGAATTACCACAAAGCACATGCCCATGTACTAACACCCAGTTTTAGAAATACAACATTACTAGCCTCCCAGAAGCCACCCCCTTTAACGGAAGTATCCAGCATCCTGACTTTTGTGGTAATCACTCCATTGCTTTTCTGTATTGAATTACTACTTACACATGTATCCTTAAACACTATAGTTTTACCTGTTTTTTTTCTGCCTTTCTCAGTGGGATTATACAAGATGTACTCTTTTGAGTCTAACTTCTTCTGCTTAATGTTATGTTAGTAAGATTCATCCATATTGTTGTGTGAAGTGGTAGTATGTTTTGTTTATTGTACATTTGGGTGGTTTTCCATTTTTGTCTTCTACAAATAATGCTGCTGTGATCATCGTTTATGTACATGTCTTGGTTGATGCACATGTATACGTATTTCAATTGTGTGTACAACTACAAGTTGAATTGCTGGGTCATCAGATTGGTCCATCTTTATCTTTACTAGAGAATTCCAAACAGTTTTCCAAAGTAGTTCTGATTTATACTCCCATCAGCAGTGTAAGAATTCCTGACACTCTATGTAATTTTGAGTAATACTTATTGTTAATCTGTTAAATTGATAGATGTGAGCTGGCAGCCCATGTGGCTTTCAGTTAGAAAGTTTAATCCCTTTACATGTAATGTAATTATTAGTGTGGTAGGATTTACATCTGCCAATTTCCTACTTGTTTTCTATATGTCTTTTGTGTTTCTCAGTTCCTCCATTACTGCCTTCATTAATAGATATTTTAATTACCCTCTTGTTTCTTTCACTATGTACATGGAGATTTTCCAGGGTTTTTTTTTGTTCTAGCCCAGTTGCTTTAGTCTGAGAAAGTATTGTGTATGATCTGAGCCATTTGAAGTTTGTTGAGCTTTGCTTGTTGAGCTGACCCAGATATGATCAGTTTTGGTAAACATTTCAACTGGTTTCATATTCTGCAGATGTTAGGTGTAATGTTTTTCTGTGTATGTCCATTAGGTGAGGTTTAGTGGTATGTTGTTGTGTGTGTTTTGTCTGTCTGTTTTTCTGTTAGTTACTGAGAGAATTGTGCTAAAATCTCTTTCCATATTGTGAAATCTTTCTTGTCTTTGGTTTTGTCAAATTTTGCTTGATGTGCTTAGAGACTGTATCATTCAGTGCCTAAAAACTTAGAAGTCATATATATGTCTGACAAATTAACCTTTTATTATCTCTGTTAATGCTTTTTGGGCAGGGGCTTAAAGTGTGCTTCATCTAGTATTAGTGCAGCTACGCTGGTTTTCCTTTTAGTTAGTGTTACATGGTTTATTTTTTAATCCTTCTGTTCTCAATCATTCTTTTTTTTGCATGTGGTATGCGGGCCTCTCACTGTTGTGGCCTCTCCCGCTGCGGAGCACAGGCTTCGGACGTGCAGGCTCATCGGCCATGGCCCACGGGCCCAGCCGCTCCGCGGCATGTGGGATCCTCCCGGACTGGTGCACGAACCCGTGTCCCCTGCATCAGCAGGCGGACTCTCAACCACTGCGCCACCAGGGAAGCCCCTCAATCATTCTTTATCCTTATGTTTTAGTTCTGTTTCTTATAAATAGCTTATATTGGTTTGTTTTTTCATGTGGTTGTGACAGTCATTTAATTTGAACATTAGTCCGTTTATAGTTAATGTAATCACCAACAAGTTTGGCTTCTCCATAGTCCTGCTTATTCCATATGTCCTGTATTTCTTTTTTCTCCTGTCAGTTTCTTTCAGATTGATTGAGGATTTTTTCATAATTCCATTTTCCCTCTATTAAACTATACACTTAAAGTAATTTTTTAATGATTAGCCTAGAGATTACAGTATGCATTTCTGACTTTGCAAAGGCTAATGCTAATTAGTGTATTTTACTCATCTACCAGACAGTGCAAAAACATCAGAACAGTTCTTCTCAAATTTTAGCATATATAAAAAAAATCACCTGAAGAACTTATTAAAGCCTTAAGCCCTGGGCCCCATCCCCCACAGGCTGATTCAGTAGGTATATGGTTGGGCCTTAGAATCTGCATTCCTAGCAAACTCTGTGCTGCCAGTCCACAGACTACATTTTGAGTGTCATTGTCTTAGAACTCATTACTCCATTTATCCTTATCTCAACCTAAATACTTTGTTGCCATGTATTTTAGATCTGTCTATATTTTAAACCCCAGAAGAAGTTATCCTTCTTGTTTAATACAGTCAGTATCTATTTAAATTTGAACTATCATAGTTACCCTTTTGGTTACTCTGCATTCTTCCCTGCATTTCTGGGCTTCCATATTGGATCATTTTCCTTCTGCCTGAAGATGGTCCTTTACTTAGTGTTCACTAGTAACAAATTCAGTTTTTGTTGTCCGAAAGTATCTGTATCTTACCTTGATTATTTTTTACTGTGGTAAAATTTACCATTTTAACTGTTTTTAAATGTTCAGTGGGATTAAGTACATTCACAATGTGCAGCTGTCCATCTCCAGAACCGTTTCATCATCCCAAACAGAAACTCTGTACCCAGTAAACAGTTAACTCCCCTTTTCTCCTGCCCCCAGCCTCTGGTAACCTCTATTCTATTTTCTGTCAGTATGCATTTGCTTATTCCGGTACTTTTGGAATCACACAATATTTTTCCTTTTGTGTTTGTTTTATTTCACTTAGCATAATGTTTCCAAGATTCCTCCATGCTGTAGCATGTATCTAACTTTTCTTCCTGTTAAGATCAAATAATATTTCATTGTATGTATATACATTTTGTTTGGATATTCATCTGTTGATGGACATCTGGCTTATTTCCATCTTTTGACTTGTGAATAATGCGTCTATGAACATTGGTGTACAAGTATCCGTTTGAGTCTCTGCTTTCAGTTCTTTTGTGTATATACCCAGAAGTGAAATTATCGGATCGTATTGGTTGTTTGTGTCTTTGGACAATGGAACGTTTTATTGTGTCAAACGCACAAGTTTTCCTGAGAGAAAAGCTTCAAAGCATAGAGTACAGCTGGCTAGAAAACATGTGGGCTTCATCTACTTGGGATCAAGCCTCAGTAGACAAGGTGGATTCAGAGCTTCCTTAATTTAAGCAAACCCTTGAAGTACAAGAGCCACACTCGATGCTTAATTGGCTTTTAGAAGGCAGTACTGTTTTTCTTAGAATTGCCCTCATGGAGGGAATCTAGGTGCAGGCTATTTGTGAGTTTTAAGCTAAAGTTTTTCAGATGCTTATTGTGGGTAGATGTTTTATGGATCCTCTAAACTTTGTGGTTTTTAAAAACACCGGAAATAAATATTTAGTTTCTCTAAGGTTTTTGGTATGGACTCTTTTCTGTTTTAAAAATTTGTGATTGACATGTGATATGTAATGAGCAGGTAATTCGCTGTGCATTTATTTAAATTTCCCCTAGGACTTTATTTCTAAACATTTTCTTTTATATTTTATTGAAGTATAGTTGATTTACAATGTGGTGTTAATTTCTGCTGTAATGCAAAGTGAGTCAGTTATACATATGTATATTTTTTCTTTTTCATATTCTTTTCCATTATGGTTTATCACAGGATATTGAATATAGTTCACTCTGCTCTATAGTAGGACCTTGTTGTTTATTACCCTAGAACTTTAGATTGTTGTGTTTTCTCTTCCGAACAGGATTTGCCCAATAACATGATCCACCAGGTGCCAATTAAATCACTCCCTCAAGAATGGCTTTGGTGTGAAACATGGTGTGACGATGCCTCTAAGAAAAGGGCAAAAACAATTGATTTGGTAAGTTGTCGGTGGCTCTTTTCTGCATCTTAGTCCTGTCTGATGGATGACTAGATAATTTAGTCTTTCTCTTTAACTGTGTAGTTCAGGGACTGCAGAACTTCTAACGGCAACCTCAGCAGGAAGCCAAATCCTCCAGTGTGTGATGGGGTTGTTTTCACTACTTAGAATTGGTGAAGTTACCACTGATCTTCCAGATCACTCTGTGCCTTGTAATGTTTCCAGTGTTTCTTTTCCTGCCTTCCAGTAGCGCTCCACAACTTCTTTGCGGAAGCTTTGTACGGCCCACTCACTACCACACTGCTTCTGCTAATATGGTTTGCTTCCTCAGTATTGTTCTCTTTGTCCAGTAAGGACCTGTAACCCAAGAACAGAAACACCTTTGAATTCTGTGTAACATACCCTTCCTTCAGCTCAGTTGAAGTGTGTTATTTTGGTTTTCACAGTGTAATAATCCAATGACCAAAGAGCCCAAGCTGGAGGCTGCTGTTCGAATTGTCCCAGAGTGGCAGGACTATGATCAGGAGATCAAACAGCTACAGACACGCTTTCAGGAGGAGAAGGAATCGGGAGCACTTCATAAAGATGCACTGGCACAAGAACCGAGCCGGGAAGGTACGTATAGCCTCTTGGCTTTAGGCAAGTACTTCTTGGCCTGTCTGATTTCTGTTTGTTGCAAAAGCAGAATAATGAATAAAAGGACTAGAAGAAACAGTTATTTAATCCTTCCATCCTGACATCTGCTAGTGTATATTGTTCACTTTCCTTATTCAGTTGGGTTCTAAACAATATTTATTAATGCAATTGCTGCCCCTTTTTTCTTCTTTCTTTCTCTTTCTTTCTTTTTTTGAAGAAAGACTGGTTTCATTGTGATTATTGTTATTTAGGTTCATGAGTTTTGTGATACATAAGCCAAACCTGACATTATTTGGGGGATCTCTTGTCAGATTCCTAGTGAATGAACACATTTAGGATCAAGACAGAGAACGTATTGATTTGAAAAAAAGTATTCTGAGGACTAAATCTTCATATAATGTTTTCCCTACTATATGTACATCTCGGATGGTAGCCAATCTAAAAAAATCATTAGAATACAAAAGTGACCTTTTGTAAACCCATTAATAAGCTGGGCTCTGGATTTTAATGTATTCAGCTCAAAACGAATTCTCAAAAAGCAATTATAGAACATGGATCTTGAGTGATTCTGAAGACTATGGCATGATATTAAAATCACAGCTAAAAGGTTGGATATTCACCATAAAAATAATTAAGTTCATGAGTAAAACCTCAAGGATTTCCATAGATAAATGGGCAAAGAATGTAAACATACTGTTTAAATAAGAGGAAAACACAAATATAAATGAATTTGAGCAAACAGTAATCAAATTAAAGGAATCTATCATTAATACATATGCTACATAGAAAAAAGCATACATATTGATAATGCCATTTGTTGGGGGAGATGGTGATGAACCTGTTGTGGGTGAACCTTGCTGAAGCTTTGTGCACTAGAACAATCCTTGTTAGAAGGCAGTCAGTCGATCGTCAGGAGCCATTAAAGTGCTTATTATATCCTCAGTAATTTCTCTCTCGAGAATTTACCTTGAAAGAAATAATTCAATACAAGAAGAAAGTTATGTACATGGAGAAATTTATTTTATTATTACTTGTAAACCAAAGGCATTAAAAAACAGTTTTAAACACCCAAAAATAGAAAATAGTAAATGAGCTACACTGCTACATAGGAAAATGTTTATATGTTATTAAGTGAAAAAAGAAGACTCCTGACTAAAAATGTGTGCATTTTTCCAAGAAGTAAATATTGTACTTGTGAAAACAATATTTAGATGGAGTTAGGGGTATGCAGGTAGTTTCCATGTTCTTAAAAATAAAAATGTCTTTTTTACTTTGCTTTTGCTTTCAAAATATAACACAAACACACTAAACCAAAGCTCCTAAAAATTTAAAAAGAGAGATACAGCGGAGGTAGGGGCACAAATAATAGGTTTCGTACCAGAAAATGCCTAGTCTGTACTTTTTTTTTTTTTTGGCTGTATTGCGTCTTCGTTGCGACACTCGGGATCTTTCCTTTCAGCCTGTGGGCTCTAAGTTGTGACGTGTAGGCTCCAGGGCACATGGGCTCTGCAGTTGGCGGCACACGGGCTCAGGCACGCAGGCTTAGTTGCCCCGTGGCGTGTGGGATCTTAGTTCCCCGACCAGGGAGTGAACCCGCATCCCCTGCGTCGGAAGGCGGATTCTTCACCACTGGACCACCAGGGAAGTCCCTAGTCTGTACTTTTATAACTTGACAATAATTCTTTTTCTTTTCAATTGTTCTCCTTTTCCGTAGGACATCAGAAACGTGAAGAATTATGATCTCCAGAGGAGGATAGGGAATTACACCATTTGAAGAACACTTTTTATATTAAATGCTAGTTTTTTCCAATCTGTCTATACAACTGCTGATGAACTGGCTGGGCAGGTGTGCCGCACCATTCATTCTGACTCCTGCACGCTGGCGGCTCTGGATCTCTGGAGTCAAGGCTCCACTGGATTCATACCTCAGAGGAAGACAAGGGGCTGATCTCTGGGGGACTCTATAAAGAGCAGGCTTCTAACCAGAAGGGAAGATGGCAGAGGCAACTGGAAGAAAACGAGCCCTGTGGTGCTCACACCTAGCAGCCCACACGAGCCACAGTGTCTCGGGAAGCCACCAGCCAGAGCCACCGTGTCCTTCCTTACCTCAGCCTACGGGCAGCGGAGCTCAGTCTGCAGCGTGGGCCGCAGGGCAGGTGCCGCCCACATCAGCCATCAGAAGCTTTGCCCAAGGTCTGCGCCCCTCGGGGTTTGCGCCAGCGTTCCCCTGTGCCCTTCCCCAGCATCAGGTTCACTGTCAAATTGAAACCCAACCAACAATCATGTGTCTTCAGGCTCGGCTCGGGGCAGGTTAATTTGGGGTTAGGATGGGGGTGGGTTGGGCTGAGGGTAGGGAAAATGTCAGGAGTAGGAGGCTCTGGAATGCTGGGGTGAGGGCGAGGGGGACCGGAGATCGGCCGTCCTCTTTTATAGACAGTCGGCACCGTTGTGACTAATTGGAAATGAAGACGTTGTCCTTATTCTCCACCCAGCCCCAGTGAACGTTTTAAGTAATTGTTTTATAAGCAGTTTTTTAAGTTGTGAAAGTCTTTGCTTTTCTCTTCCCACTTTCTTAAAAAAGAAGTCTGTTATTTCCTTACTGGATACAGCCATAGTAAGCCCCTGTAGTGATCCATCCTGAAGGGCTTAGGGCTCCCTCAGGACGGTCACCGCATCATTTACCCTCTTCTTCTCCACAGGATTTTCGTCTCTCAGACCCAGGGGAAGTTGGCTTTGGCTTTTCTCTACGGAAGACTCCCAGATCCGAGATCGGGAGAGATTCTGCTTGTGTCATTCACTTTTTTCTATACACTGTTCTGTATTTCTTTTAGTTTAGTGCAGTGGGCTGCCTTTGACTTGTAGAAATTGCCAGTGTCGCACCCGTTCTGACTCCACAGAGTTGCATCTTGAAGCAGGTTTGGCCCTTTGGTCATGGCTTTTCATGTCTTCACTTCAGCAGCCCAGAAGGGCGCTTCCGCGTCAGCCTTTCCTGCTGGGTGGGCAGAGCCGGGAGGCGCCCACGAGGAGTCTTGCGGGTGCTGTCGGCCTGCGTGGCTGTAAGGCTGCATGTCCTGCCCCCCGGCTGCCCAGGCTGCAGGGCACGGCAGCAGAGCACTCCGTGGACTGTGCCTCCTTCCAAAGTCTTAGGACAAATATCGAGGAATTAATTTTTTCCATATTCACACGCCAAAGTTAGCTCGGGAGTCTCTTAGTCCGAGGGAGCTTTTGAGCGTGCTTTTGTAGGTCCATTAAAAAACTGGGGAGGAGGGAGCCCGAAAGATTTTTAGATAAATCGATCCAAGACTGCAAAGGTCCCTCAGAGGTGTCGCTGTTGACAAAGGCTCTAGCGTGAGTTCCCCCCACGCTGCTCCTCCCCTGGTCAGAGCAGCTAAAGGGATAGAATCAATGAGAGTGGAAAACATTCACTCAGGTCCATCTGAGAGTTAATTAAGCCTTCAGAGAGGCTGCCGCTGCCGCCGCCACTTCTGTCTACAACCACGGGCGCAGTTGTGCGTTTTCCCACTTCATTTACTGGGAGGTTGAGCGGGAAATAACAAAAGTCACTGGGATGTGCTTTCTAAACGCTGGTTACCTTGGGACATGGAACAGGCCACCTTTCCACGTCTTTCTGCCTGGGCTCTTAACGTGTATCGTTCATGAGGAAGGTGAAATCTGTTCTCTGTGTAGTGTGTGTGTATCCTCGTTGTCCCTTATTTGTCACCACCCTAAATTTAAGTCTTATTAACAGTTGAATCTAAACATGTGAGACCCCGCTTGCTTCTGAAACGGCCTAGGGCCCTCCTTCTCATGCCAGGAATATCTTGGTTCGCGTGGCATGAGCAACTTCCAAAACGAACCTCTAGCGCCCTGGGAAATGATACCGCCACTAAAATTCGGTCTTGGTCAGCTTTGTCTGTTCTCTCTACCATATGAAAGCAAATTGTGACGGGAAAGATAGGTAGGAGAGATTTTTCACAAGAAACATGAACTGATTTTACCGAGAAGTGCAAGCTTCTGGAAGCTACTCACAGTACGTTGTTTTCAACCATCTTTTCATACGTAATGGATTTTTTCCCCCTTCATCATGCTGTAGTGGAAACTTTTTCTTTCTGAATCAGTGCCAGAGCAATGTGACATAATGTGACACATCAGAACGACATGCAACAGTGTGGGTTTTTATGTCTTGCGAACAGTGGTATTTGATGGAGATCAGAATGGGTGCACGCGGCCTGCTCTCGGAGCTGCAGGGACGTGCCTGTGTTTCGTTTAAAAGCGTCCTGAATACTTGCCACGCTGAGAGCGCTGGTGCGGCAGTTTTCCACATGGCTGAGGGAGTGTTGAACCTGTCAAAGTGGCACTTCAGATTGAAACGTAGAGCTGTTTGCCTGCCTGCCAAGCGCACGTGCATCTGGTAGGCCCATGTACTGTGTGAGCTCAGCTCGGGGGGCGGGGGGGAGCAAAGGTTTCATAAAAATCAGGTAGTAGTTTCCAAGAAGGGAGCTTAATCGACTCTGCTGTCCTCACACCCTCATATCATGAGCCTTGTGAAAGGTCTGAGGGAACGAACAACGTCTGTCTGGTTGCAGGATTACTGAGTGAAGGGCTGACGGCCAGGGACAGCAGTGCGGTTTCCAGAAGAGACTGGAAGGGAAATGAAAATCCCAGTTTCCTTCGGCTGGGAATTCCACTTTACTGACCTCGTAACTTGGAACGGGTCAGACCCCGCCCTCACAGCAGCGAGCCTAAGGTGGTTCCTCCTCCCCGACACCCACTTGGGAGTAAATTTGGGTACTTGAAAGCAGTTTTCTTTTTTCCCTGAAATTGCCATGGATGATTAAAAGAAATAATTCAACTCATGAATTTCAAGAGCACATCTTGTGCATTTTTCTGAGTAAAATGTTCGTGCTGTGGTATCAAATATCATGGAAGTGGAAGTGTTTTGGTGAAGCTTTCTCTTGGTAACAATGAATGCAGGGTGTGTTGTGTGCAAAGTTATTTAAATATATTCCATTGTGTAATTTTAATAATTTTTTAAGCATTTGATTTTATGGGGACACTTTTGTGGGATGATAAGGGTTAATCAACTTGAATATTGCTGTTTTGTGTCTAGTCTGGTGGGATAACCTTTTTAATTTAAATTTCTATTTTCCCAGTCTTGCTATAGTGAGGAAGGATCTTTATTAGGACTTTGGTAATAACCTGACTGAATTCCACAAATTCGACGTCATCAACTCAGGTCTTTGTTGGTACTTCAGAGTATCTGGAGGATACCAATTTCTCTTTCATTATTTGGTCTTTGATCTCTCAATCTAATACAGAAATGACACTTCTGGGTGGCGGTGAGTCAGGGCACTGAGTAGAGGATCTCTCCCTCTCAGGGTGTCACTGAGTGTTGACAGCTTATAAAAACAAACCACGAAATCAGCTTCAGGCACCTGCATGCTCCCCAGAAGCAGTCCGAAAGTGAAGCCATCTCCTGAGTCTTTTCCAATTACCTAGCGACACAGAGGCCAAATGTGGCAGATTTAAGTAGGACACAAGTTAGGGTTTGAGGCAAGGCCTTCATCCCACCTGTAATTTATGCATTGCCTTAACGTGTCACCTTTTAGATTTCCAGAGAAATGGACATAATTCCTCTTCACAATAAAAATAGCAAAATACATTAACCTAAGGTCAGCAATTTGAGAAAAGATTATCAAGTACGGTGGTTTCCAACCAGTTGTTTTTGCTAATAATAAGGTAAACATGGAAAAACAAAAATATTAGAATTTTTAAAGAAACTGTACTTAAAAACAAAAACCTTTGTAACTCTTCTATTTTACTGTAATCCTGTTCCATTAAATGCAACAAAGGTCCAGGTGCTGCCCCTTGCTCGGGAACAAGCACCTGGGCAGTAAATGTCTACAGAGCCCTCTGCGCCTGAAATGGATTGAGAATGAATTTCCTGGTACTGTAATGAAAATAAGGTCTGCTCAACACAATAAACTTTTCCTTCTCTTCTTTAAAACCGTCTGGTCTGTCATTCAGCTTTTATGCTTAGGAAAGGTAGGTCGTTAGAGCTCGAAATTCCATCCCTCCATCTGACAGAAGCAGCAGGCCGGGACAGGAGGAAGAGCTTTACCCGAACGCCTTGTCTGCTGAGGAGCTAGGTCCAGGTGCAGCCAATTCTCTAGATTCTCAGGGAGCACCCAGGCCTCTTCGAGGTCTCCAAGTTTGGGGGACTGCCCCAGGCAGGATCTGGCAGGCAAGCTGCCCCAGAAGCACTAACCATAACAGGAAGGGTGGCATGGACTTTGTTCATTTTGCAAATTCTCTGAGCTCCTACACTGGGGCTGGATTTGAGGTTGAAGATATGGTTCCCGCCATTCAGGTGCTCACTGGACACCGCAAACTGGTGTAATGGGAGCGCTTGCAGAGGTGGAGGTTGGGCAGAGGGACCTTGTGGCTGTGAGAACATGACAGAGGGCACCTACGGTGGAGGAGGGAAGGAGGGATTTGGTGGTCAGGAAAAGCTTCTACAAGGAGAGGATGCTTAAACTCAAGTTTGGGGAATCAGTAGGCGTTATCTATGTAGAATGAGGGAGGTGGGGATAGAGGGAGGATGGAGAGCTGGTGTATCTCATTTAAGGAGCCACAAGTGAACCTCTGGGGCTGGAGTCATGGCCAGGAGCGAGGTGCTGGAGTGGGGATCTGAGTTGATCCAGAGCCACCAGAAAGCCCCTGAGGGGTTTTAAACTGGGTGCCTACATGAAACCTCTTTTTTCTTGTAAAAAAATTACTATTGATGTATAGCATTTGAAGGTACAAGTAAACAAACATACACCTTGATAGATTTTCAAAGTAAACACACTTGTATAACCATCAACCAGATAAAGAGGTAAAAAGAATTTGGATTATAGTCTGGCTTCCATCAGTGGCAAGAGCATTG